TACAGGTAACAAATTAAGTGTTTAAAAGTGGTATTAATATTTGGTTAGTTTTATTCTGATTTCAGTCTATGTTGTTGTTATTGTCGTTGTTAACAAATCTTTTGTAGTTGTAACAACTCAAAATGTTACTACCTGGGGTATCCGAACATTTTTAAACTTGGACATTATGTGTCAGGATAAAATATTGAATGTACATCTTTCAAGATATTTCTGAAAATGTGGCTTACGACAAGTCTCAGAAGTATTGGGGCAGCCAATTTACAAACTCACTAGCCAATTGGTTAACTGCTTAGGTTTTGACTAAACAGATGGCTTTTGAATCTTATTGACACTGACTTGTGGCCATTATCATTCTTGTTGTGAAGATCCCCATTTGTTTAATCTAGAAATAATTATATTAATTATTTATAAACTTCCAGGTTTTATTCTATACTAATAACTGACATTAGTATAACTGCACTGTTGCACAAATATTTTCTATGACGCAATTAGTTATTCAGTGGTGCATCATTGATGTAACAGAAAACAGTGCATTACATATAGTAATTTTGAAATAATCTTACTACTGTTATGAACATTGTAATTTGGTAAAATGAAATACTGTAAAATACTTTATTTTCGCTTCGAATTAATTTTCGCTATGATTCAGTGAAAATATTTTACATTAAACTCGTTAAAAACCAGTGAAATTAAATTCCATACAAAGCACCTAAAATGTCTTTTCGGTGATAATTAATTCGAGCTAAAATAAAGTATTTCATAGTACACATTTTATGAACAAAAAAAATGTAAATATGAAGTAATTCAAGGGCCACATTTGTGTTTGTGCCTCATACAGTCACATGCAAGACTAACCTGTTCAGCAGTCAACAAGCAGACTCAACATGATTTTAGGGATTTGAGTTTGACTTTATGATCCCTACAAAGTCAGTCATTAAGGGCACACTGGTAAACTACAGCTAATAATTCTTTTGATTTGTCCCTTAGCCATGGTTTAATTAAGAAGAGTACTGCTATCAACCAACACTGCCATATGAACCATTCACAAGGGGCATAGCAGAAATATCTATGGTGTTCACAGACCAGCTCATTTTATTGCTTATCAAGAGTGTACAGTATGACATTCACAAACTACCAGATACTTGAATTTGCAACCTAAAAGCTGAAAATAGAATGAAATTATAGAAATAGAATTATTTCTGGAATGTTCCAAGAATGAAAAAAAACATAACTTGGGCTACTTTGAATCTGTTATTTTTTTCATATAACTGTCATTCATGCTTGAATAAGTAATGATACTGGATAAACTAGAGGAGATGAGAGATGGGGTTTAATGAAGGTCAAAAAACCTCAATCTGATTAAAATCTGATGTAGTGTACAGGCTTTAATTATTTTGGCTATAAACTTATTTTAATTTTATTTTTTATTATATTTGTTATTAATGCCCTTTTATTTTACTTTGATTTTGAGATTTTTTTTTTTTTTAATTCCGCCCTACTACATCTGATCCGACGCCTATGTAGGTCCCGTTCAAATCTCGCGTAAGTAACAGCCAATCACAGCCCCCTTTTATACAGGCTGTCGGTTGCTTACTTTTCAGTGTATACGGGCAATCTTTCTGTACATTATATTTTGCCCACTTGAATAAACCATTAATAGAAAATTGCTAGTATATTTTTATTTGCAAAAGAAATTCCACAGCACTTTACAATTTTTGTCATTACATTGAATATTTTTTTCACTTCCAACAAATATGTACACTTCCAGATACATCTTCGCCAGCCAAGGTTCGTTCATTCAGTCATCGCTTCAATTTTACATCACTGAGCATAATTATCTAGAATGGAAGCAAAAAAATAAGTAAATCGTAATGATTAGAACACTGTAAACAGCTATAGTAAACAATGCAAACTGATTTTAAATTGTATAACGGTCACCGGCCCACGGCATCGACGCAGAAAATTGGAGCAAACAAATATTTCCTGATCAATTGCGATGTGTTCCAAATAAAAAATATTTTATTCCAGTCCAAATTAGCTCAATTACTTTAATAAAGAGTTATTGTATAATGTACAAAATGTTGATACAATTTGATGAATATTTACATCTTCAATGCCGTAGACGATTTTGGCCTGATCGTCAACAAAACATCACCCGTCTCCAGGGCAGGCGACTGGAAAAAGACACTGGTGTTCGGTCGAACCGGTGGAAACAAAATCAACACTCCCAGAATAACTATGCGGAACTAAGTCGAACCATTCGAGTCACAATATTAACATAAAAATGACTTTCGTTGCATTTGACAATGATAAACTTACCGAAAAGCCGTGTTATTCATGGTCGCTAACGTCGGTATAATCCGCCATTTTATTTTATTTGAGTGTGTTTGCCATCCGGTGACGTCATCATGTGCGCTATAGAAGGAGGTATGTGATTCGTTGACTAAAATCGACGATAGTGGGTCTCGTTGAAATCTCGTTACATAGGCGTCGGATCAGATGTAGGTAGGGCGGAATTAAAAAAAATCACAAAATCAAAATCAAAGTAAAATAATGAGATAAAAGGGCATTAATAACAAAAGTAATATAAAATAAAATTAAAATAAGTTTATAGCCAAAATAATTAAAGCCCGTACACTACATCAGATTTTAATCAGATTGAAAAAACCTTAGATGGTAGAAAGATAGCTTTTACTGACATCATATTGTAATCAGAGAAAAGTCTCATTTCAGTCTATTTAGGTGCATCTTCAATTCACCAACAAATTTTGTTAGATGTTATGTAAATCCATCAGCTACTAAACTACATGTACATTTAATAACTACTGTAAAACTATTTATTTTTACTGGCATTTCACTATTTTGATCAATTTCACTAAGTCTTAAGTTCAAGAACTTGGCAGGGAAACAATGAGTTCTATCATTGTCCTACATGCTCACATGGATTTAATTTAGCAAATTTTACTTACAAAAATATCAAGGAAAATAGAAAAATTAAAAAACAGTGAATAATGAATGTGTTTACTGTATTTCTTTGTTATGAGATAAAATGACATTCTCATGAGGCAAGGCATTCAAATGTTTGCAGTGTTTTCACCTTTTCACATCAACTCTTATCTTGAAGTTAACTTTTTTATTTCTCCCATGTAAGTATTAAATAACAATGATAACTATTTGTAACTTTTATCTTTATTGTATATAGTGAATAATAAATTTGTACTGAAATTAAAACATGTTATATTTTATGTTACATATCCACAGCACTGCTGCATCATATTGCTAATGGCATATACTTGTATTGCAAATAGAGCACACATACAAAAAAGAGCCACAATAATTGTTATCAAAATCCCAATATAAGGCCCCTGTAATCGTTGTTTTAATGTATACTCAATATATGAATTGTTCATTTTACTTGATTTATTTCTCAGCAGATTTTGAAACAGAGGGCGCAGTTTGAAATTTGAGTTTGAAGTTAAATTCCACAATACTCCCATGTGAATACAAAATATATGCAATTACTGTTATAAAAAAAAAAAAATATCTGAGATGAAAATACCCAACAGTCAGTGAAGAAGTAATGGCATTGGAGGTTAGGATTGTCATTTAGCAGATGTTCAGCACAAAAGTGCATCCTACGACCAAATAAGTGCATATTTTATTACAAACTCATGGCATATTTAAAGCGGTGGGCTTGTCACCTGCATAGGCACAGGAATTGCGTCCCAACCAACAATAACAATGAAGCTAAGAATGCAAAGGCTCATGGGTAAACGCTTCTTTGTAAATGACGATGCGCTATTGCCATCTGCCTCATGTGCAGGTTACTCACTCGCTTTAATTTTTCAAATCTGGGCGACATTCATATTTACATGTCCAGGTGAGTGGATCACTCCAACGATGGTCTTTTAACAGTCTGATTCAGATTTAAATTAGTCATTTGTAAGAAGACACTAATGACAATGTAATAATATACTTGCCTGTGATCATGGGGTTAATACACCATTAAATTTTATATATGGATGTTGACATTTTTAATCCTCTGCGTTTGCCGAGGGATTACAGAGTTGCGTTCATGTTATGATGATGATGATAATAATGATAATAATTGCTATATTGAAATTATATCCATTTGCCATTATGGTATTATTGCAAGTCATCGTACACATAAACGGCAAAGAAGATTCCAAAAACATTTATTCACGTTGATTTAGCATTGCAAAAAAAACAACAGTTGCAGCAGCACATTATTGTGCGTCGCTGACAACGGTTTGCATTCATTACTACAGCAACTGACTACATCTACATTGTAGCTGCACTTCCCTTCATCGTCATGTCATACTAGTATAACTCGGTACATGTTTTCTTGAATTCACCACTGAGGGCGTGATTTCGGTTTGTGTACTTTCTGTGTGTATTCAATTCAAAATACAAATGTAAATGCTTTGTTGATATATATACTACAAACTTAAATGTGAGATCATTTTGTTCAGGGTTTTTTCTAAACAGGGGTGCAGCGCCCTGATACTTTCGGCTGTCGCTTTCTTACCAAATTGACGATCGAACTTTCAAGTCATAAAAATATATTTCTTGAGCCGCGCACTTTCAAGCTGCCCTACAACAGAAAATCTTTCTCAAATATATTTTTCTCTGTGGAAACTTCCAAGCAATACCAGCTGACAATGTGTCTGGATATCAAATACACTAAAATTACTCGAAAAATATTTCAGTGGCGATAAATACACCATTAAAATGGCACAGAAACCTGATATGACGTTTCCAGGTCGATCCGCCCTTCCACACCTATCCCCTTGCTTGGTCGCTCCGCTCCCTTGGCTGTGTGCTCCCTCTTGTTCATTTTTTCTAGAAAAACCCCTGTGATTGATCAGTTTGTAAGAAATAGATTTTTGGTAATCTAATGTGGAAGCCTAACTACAAGGAACCATAATTTTTACCTTGCCCGTAACATCAAAGATGGAAGGGAAAGGTATATTACGTAAAAAATTTCTCTCTGGCATTGTCGTCGTGGTTGTTAATAATTGTTATTTGTGTGCATAATAACTTTACTAATTCTATTACAAACTCCATCAAACTTGGTCAACTTAGCAATCATTATAAAGTCTTCCCTGAGTTTGAACAACAGATGTCCTGTATGAAAATATCATGCAAAAATTGAGAAAATCTGATAAAATATTTTGACTATTTCTACTTGACTGATCACTGGTGATACACATTCAATGTCATTGATCGCATTGTTGTATGTGTTCAATGAAGCAAATCATTTATCTAGTAATAATATCCTTGGTAATGTATCTCCCAAATCCCATGGGAATGCTATACTGGGTTTCAAAACCAACTCATGGAGAGTTTTTGCATAGTCTGATACACATTTGCAAACCTAAAATATTTACAGAAAACAGGATTTCAGAAAATCAATATAAGCACTCCTATGAATTGGGTGCCAAACTTTGATCAAGATCTGAAGTTAATAGAAAATGTGTTTAGTCCAAAGTTATCAAATCAAAAACAATACATAAAAGTACATAAAAATCAAAACTCTTCATCCACATTTTGAAAAGAAAGTTGTACTCAAAAATAGGTATTCTGTCTTTGACAAACAATTCATTTGACAAATGAAAATTCACAGAAATTTGTTTCAACTATTAAAACAGAATGAAAAATGCACTTTAAAAACAAAGATTGCAGTGTTTGAAGATGTAGATTCTCAGGAGGAAAAAGTACTGTTGACTTCTCTCTCCACTGAACACCAACTGACTATTTAAGTAGATTTGCATTACAAAGCAGAGCTTGCAACATGATAGCTATTCATAGAGGGTGTTTTTTTTACTTTTTATATAATAAAGTAGTCACACAATGAATATAATAAGGCAGTTCATATTTGTCTCAGCAAATCATTAATTTTTGACAGACACCTGTACAAAATACATCGGCAAAACGATAATACTGTAACTGATCAAAATTATTTTATTTTTCTTGTAAGAAGCTTTGCACATGCATGCTATGTGAAACAAATTCCCCAAATAGCTGCCAAACCACATGACTGATCAAGTATTTTTCTCATCCACACATGATACATATGTAGCTGATCCGTTAACTCACTCTCAGGAAACCCAAACTGTTGCCAATTTTCAACAGATATCCAAGATGGCAACCAAACCATGCGACTGATACGAATATTATTTGTTAACTGTTTGAAAGTTTGAATAGAAATGACATGGCAAATTTCAAAATAATTGGATAAATGTGGCATCAGTAAAAAAACCTACTTCCTGTTTGGAAGAAATCAAATTATCTATTACAGATGAGCTGTAGTATGCCACAAAAATTCAGATTGCCCGGCCATCAAAAAGTCAAATAACCACTTTCAGTTTAACTTCAATCCAATATGGCTGCCAAACTAGAGACACAATCAAACTTTTGAAAGTCAGGTTACATTAGCACCTATTAGCTTAGAAAGTTTGAGAAGATTGCGTTCAGAGTTTATTCAAACTAATAAATACAAGCATTGCATAGTTCCTGTTCAGTATTAGCTGTAGTTGATGTAAATGTTCAAGTGACATGTAGAAATGAAAGATCAATGTTTTTTAACACTAACACCAGTCGGGTATTGTTGTTCAAGTATCTCCAAAAGAAATATGGCTTGCACTGTAACCTAATATGTTAGATCATCATACATAGTTTGATTGAAAATGCCGTATTCAACTTTGAACTGAAACAGGCCTAGTGTTTTTTGACAAAATGGCCACCATTTCAACAAATTTGATCAAATCTCAAGACAAAACATGTTGTTGTGTTACCTTGCAGTCAGGGGTCGAAATACTCTGGTGCACACTGCACTATGCACATAGATTATTAGCTAGTGCAAGTAAACTCAAAATATAATGTGCACACTGCACTATGCACATAGATTATTAGCTAGTGCAAATAAACTCAAAATATAATGTGCACACTGTGCATGTAGAAATTAACACAACATTTTCTCATTATATTCACTAAGCCTAAATTAAGTTCTACAAATATTGTAAGACAACTAAAACAAAGCAAATTCTTTCGTGATCGCATCAATCGAGAACTCGTAAATTTTATTAAAACTTTAAAACAACAAGTTAGTGCAGGTAAATTTCAACTTCGACATTTCAATCCCTGGCAGTATACTACCTATGTACAAACTTTGAACTGATTCAAGCCATATTTTATGGAGGAAACAGCACGAAAACAAGGGGGAAAATGGCCGACAGTCGACCATCTTGGGCCGAATCTCCAAAAAAAAAGTGACATGCACCTATAACCCAATATGCATTATCACCATACAAAGTTTGATTTAAATCACCCTGTTTAGCGCTGAGTAACAGTTCCAGACACATTTAAATTTAGCAAATTTGAGGGGAAAATGGCTGCCAGTAAGCCATATTTAATCGAATCGAAAATTGGCGTGCATATGTAGGTCATCATACATTGTCTGTATGCCAAGTTTGAACGAGATGGGTCAAAGGGTGTCCGAGAAATGTTATTCAGGGACAGAGTCTGTAATCCATTTTAGATACGGCGGATTTCCTTGATCAATCTGCATACTAATCACCTCGGCTGTATCAAAAGGATGATTTTCTCTCACATAGGTAGAAACATCAGGAACTTTAGATGTACGTGTCTTGATCATCAGCAACACTTCGTTATCTTCTTCAATTTTTCCTTCCCACCTATACATTGACGTTATCCCTGGAATAACATTAACACAGGCAACGAGCTCTTTTTCAAGCAAACCCCTGCAAAACAAAGGACAATGTGAGTCCCATATTTTTATTTAAGAAAATGAAAAAATACAGGTAGGCGTGATATCAACGCAGTCTGTCGAAATCTTGAGTGCGATAGGAGGGGGCGTGGCTTATATCTATTCCCACCTGGCTAGTTTTTTGGCTACATCTAGATCCGGACACGTCACAAAAGCTGCCGAGTGAAGTCCCGAATTATAGGACGCCGACGCCATAGCGTATAAAACTCTACGACCCGTCCAAAACACTGATGACATTGACAGACAAATGATGCCAAGAATTGCAGCGTGTTTCATAGAAAAGGTTGAAGAAAGGTCAGCAGACGATCTGCTGAGCATGTTGTAACAGCAGTGATGTACCAATACCACGTTGTTCGTCCGTGAAGCTGTCTGACAGATTATAAGTATTGTTTTTTCGTCAAGGTAAACATAATTTTTACCTCAATGGCATTGAAATATAACTCAAATGCATGTTTTGTACATAAATTTACTTGTTCCGGGAAAATAATATATTGAATAAGCAGTTTTCAAATGTTCAACTCACTTAACAACGTGATCCGTTTTTGGGGTCAATGGAGTTCATTAGGTTTGATAGCAGGAAGTTTTTTCTAGGGGATACGTGAAATATCTTTTATTTCATCAGATTGTGTCCTCTGAAACTGGAACTATTAACCCTCAACGGTGAATGTAAACTTTTATTTGGACCAGTGGTCTGAATTGGAGCTCAGTATTTAGGTGAATGTGAACAAAGTCCAGCTTCAGCGTTTGTCAAGGGAGCAAGACTAGCTGCAGTTCTGTAGCTCACTTGGTTTCGCTGTCGGTTATTTCGTTCGTCGTGGTGTTAACGCGGAGCAAGACTCACCTTGAACTCTTTCGCCGGTTTCAGTTCTGTTCGCAAATATTACATCACGATGCCGTTATCCGATTTGATTGTGGCTGGCTGTGGTACTGCAGCCACTGCGTTGACGTATTATTTCTACAATGGAAAATACCGCAGTATAGAACAAATCAAGGTGCGTTAACAATATCGGAGTGCTTGGTGACAGGGTCAATCAGCGTATCATGTAACTAATAATTGATTCATTTATGTAGTTACCCAGCGATAGACAGCCGAACACAACAAACACATCCCTTTAAGTTTCAGAGAGAACATTGTGTTGTCCGATGTCATTGAGTATATAATATCAGGCATTTCGTTTTAAAATCTACAAAGTAGGAAGTAAGTTTCCAAATATCCACTTTTCTAGGAAATGTCTTTCTGTTTTAGTTTTTTCCTAGCCTAATGTTGAAATAACTGCAGGGCGGAATATGGCATTGTGATATACTTGTTTTATCAAAATGAAACATAAAATTTTATACCCTTAGTAGCTGTGGGTCCATAGCTCTTCTTGTGTCGGTCTTTGGTCTTTGTGATGGTATTTTAATCATTTCTGATGCATTTGGTGTCATTAAATTTGTTATTTTCGGACATTGGGATTTTCATCAACACAGAAGAGCTATGCCTCCCCCATAGACTTGCATAACACAAATGTGTGACACCAAATGGCATCCAAATGGACCCACAGCTAATGTTATAGCACATTATTAGTTCCCGTTCGGAAGCATTTCTGGCATTTATGGATGGATTTCGTTCAAACTTGGTACATACATTAGACATTACAGGTTCCTGATGCACAGCATTTTATTTGTCAGATCAAATTCAAAGTGGCTGTCTGGCGGCGATTTTGTTTTAATGAATGGGTTTCCAGACCCATATGTCTGACTTGTTTTGACTGATTATGTTCAAATTTTTAATATTCAGTATACATTATGTCATAGATATACGAATATATTGGTTTGACGATCCTTTTGAAAGTGGCCAAATGGTGGCAGTTTTTTGTAGTAAAAAAATCCTCAAATATCAAGCATTTCTTGCATTTATGGATGGATTTTGTTCAAACGTATAACATACATTAGACATTACAGGTTCCTGATGATTGGGCTTTGAGAGCCATAACTCTGACATGCTTTGACTGATTATATTCAAATTTTATATATTCGTTATATATCGTGTTATATAGCGTATATATATATATATATATATATATATAGTATAGTATATTTTATTTGACTCAAATTAATGAATTGGAAATACATTAACCATTGTCAATAATCATACACAAAAAAACAACAACACAATAACATAAAATACAGATATTAAAAATACAATAAAATGTTAAAACAGATAACACTATTAGGTATTACATTGTAAAATTATGTTAATAAACTTTCCTAGACTATTGGCAATGAAACTGTCTTTTATTCCCATAATATGCACAAACGTATCTTCTTTTGGTAATTTTAAAATATTATCATTGTATAATGATAGAGTATTCCAAAAGTAGCTACGTGCCTTTACAATTTCATCCAGTTTGCAGTCAAAAAGAGCATATATATATATATACATGTATATACATGTATTCAAAATGGCTGATTTTGAATGCTGTTCCAGAGCAATATCTCTCAATATGGACAAGTACTTTTTTGATGATCAGATACAAATGTCAATCATTTTACAGCAATTCCAGGCACTGATTCTATGCTGAAGTAGTGCTAGATGTAGATAACATTCTACAATAGGTTACACACTTTGTTTTCACATTTACATAAGTTGCAACTAGAAGTATAAACATCGACTGCAAATCAGAGGAATGATTGACAGATATTGCCCACAATGTTTTCTATTTTTGCTACAAAGTCAGATGCACCCAGACATTGTGGCGCGTCTGTCTTTCATTCACTTTTGGTCAGTCATCGTGTTGATTGCGTGTCTACAAATTGGAATTTGTCCAAGTTGTTTAAACACCACAGTTGAAGATTGGAAATCAAAGTGATGTTTCAAAGCAAACAGCTTATAATATCGTCAAATGGTTTGTTACCACGGCGAGAGTATCCTGCCAGGAAAGCGTAAGAGCGACCAATCCGCGACTAAAAAACTGACAACGTTATGGACTATGTCGAATATTATAAAACGTTGAGACTGAGCATTTACGAACGGTAAATTTGACAAAACTACTCAAAGACGGTGCATGTATGGCGGCAACCGTCATGGGCGTGTAATCATGTGTTGCTAGTGATAAGCTGTTTGCGGATACGGGGGAGTTATCATGCTCAAGGGGACAGGTGTTATGAAGCATGGCAAAATATATATTTTCTTGAAGCCCTTGTTGCGATATGTACCACGAATTAGGTGATTACTAAGTAAACATGGAGGTGTTATTTTGAATAAAAATGAATTTTGTGTAAAAACAGCGGAGGTTTTGTAAAAAACAAAATCTGAAAAATCACTGCAGCATCAGAATTATTTGGTGGCAACCTTTTGGTTCTCATCGTCGAGAACTAATAATCGAATAACATCCATTCTACTTATGTATTCAATTTCATTATTGATATACTGGACGAAGTCTTCATAGGACATTTGTTGCAGGCAGACGTTAGTTTAATATATCACGGTTTAGTGGTTATATAGATCAGCGTGATACGGGTATTTCCATAGTAGGAATAATGCACTTTGATCAACATTTCAACTAACGTTCTTTACAGTGCCACCACTTTATGTGCTTACTGAAATAACATGTGACGCAAATTGAAGTAGGAAACTAAGTTAAGAGCCTTGATCGTTTATTGGAGGAGAAATTCAAAACTAATTACTAATGTACTTTTATGGGCGGAGCTTCCTTCTGGTGCGCTTCAAATTGCAGACATACTGTCTGCATTATTTGTAACAACTTCTGTAAATGTGAAAACAAAGTGTGTAACCTATTGTAGTAAGTTATCAACATCTAGCACTACTTCGGCGTCAAATCAGTGCCTGGAATTGCTGTAATGTTAAAAAAATCATATTCCTGACATGGTTATATTCCAGCTATATTACTATAAACAAAACTATATATCTTAAATTTGATAACTAATGGGGACTGTGCCATGCATGGCTTGTTAATTGTGGAAATACCCCAAAAATACTTTGTTTGTCAAATCCCATGTGATGTTCTGACGCTACTACAACACTATGACCTTTGTTAGTCCTGTTTTACATTAATTTTTACGCATAACACAGGATCTCGTATTGAACGCAAAATGGTCCATTTTTGAAAATAAAAATAAATACATTATTGACTCCCACACTATGGGAGTCTTTGCAGTTACCCTGTCAGTATGTATGTATGTATATGTGTGTGTGTGTGTGTGTGTGTGTGTGTGTGTGTGTGTGTGAAGTGGGTGGGTGGGTGGGGTGGGGTAGGTGGGGGTGTGTCCGTTCCACTGATATCTCGAGAACAGTATATTGGTTTTTAACGAAACTTGGTGTATAGATGCTCTGGGCTAATGCGCAAATTTGATTAGGTTTTGGTTGAAATCCCATGCATATTAATTACCCAATTTGCATGATGATTAGCTAGTTTTTAGCAGTTCCTTGACTGTTCCACTGATATCTAAAGAGCCATTCATTAGATTTTGATGAAACTTGGTACATAGATGATCTGCACTAATGCAAAGGTGTGATTAGTTTTGGGTAAAAATCCATGCATATAATTAACCTAATTTGCATAATGATTAGTCAAATTTTGGTTTTTCCACTGATATCTCGGGTACTAATCATCACATTTTAATGAAACTTACATAGATACATAGGACGATGCCCAGACAGATATGTGAAATATTAATCACCTAATTTGCATAATTAATAATTTTACTTCATTACTTTTCTATGAAATTTGGTATATATAAGCCCGAGAACAATCAAAAGACCTGTTTAATTTTAAGTAAAAATGTGTTAATATTAATTAACTAATTTGCATAATTAGTTAATTTTTGGCTTTTACACTGATATCGCAAGTACTAATTGTCCAATTTCCATGAATCTTGGTACATGGATGTTCTAGGACAATGCACGGACCTGATTAGTTTTGGGTTAAAATCAGTGGATATTAAATAATTTGCATAATTAGCCAAATTCCAGCGTTTACACTGATATCACATGTACTAATTATTCCAAAAATTAGTTGCCAAGCTTCTTGTTTGAAAAGCAAATCTTAAATTAATGTGTCTCCAATACTCTCAGCACACGGGAGTTCTTTCTAAGCTTTCTTTGATTTTTGTCATTCCACTCAGGATGCGCCAACATACAAAATAGATGCTAATTTGAAGAGTATTGTTGGAGATGCTCAGAACAACACAATACCTTATGTGACCATCCAAGGCGAGGCAAAGTCATTATTTCAACCAATTAAAAGTCAATATGTAGCAGGAATGGTTGGACTTATACAGACACTAATACTGAAAGAACATAAGACAGAATGGAGTAAAGCCACCAGACTATGGTAAGATAATTTCTTGAATTTTTCTGAGAGAAAGTTATCACGACTACCGGTAGTTGTGAAAGTTTACTTGCTAGTATTCTCACAATTTTTACTCAGTTGTAGTTTGTGAAATCTTCTGTACTAACATGGCCATAAAAGGAACTACAATTTTTACCATGCTTGTTTTGAATCACACATCATGGACACAAAATTGTGGGTATTCAAAATATATTAGAAATACAGTCTTGTATTTCACAGTGGTAGCAAATAATTTGCATAAATATTCCAAACAGAAATTGTGACGATTACCATACTCCACTCACACCACATGCACGCTATAAAGTAAATCAAAGTATACACGTATACCAGGTGACATGTGATAATTGTCTGCCATAGACCCATTATCTGAATTAACCTGAATTAGTACTAAATATCAGTTGTTTTCCCCTGAAAGCTTGAATATCTCTGCTACCAGTGACAAAAATTGCTAATGTTTTATGTGAAATTTGATTTTGATGAACTCAATTGTTTCCATGGTAACAATGAAACAATCACTATATTTTAGTAATTTGTGCTTTAAACAAACTTACTTGGTTATAAATCAGTGTATATGACTACATGCTATGAATTATGTCTGTAAATGTTAGGAAATTTGGTAACCATAGCAAGCAGAATGAAATTTCAGTCAGCATTTTTGTTATAAATTTGGCAGGATATATAGGTTTGGGTAAAAAAACATCACTCCTATATATCTGAATCAGTGTTCTGAAATAATAAAAAATTTGAGCTAAAATGGTGAAAAGCTGCTGACATTAATAATAAACCATCGATTTGATGTTTTATCTTCGTACGAGAAAGGGTTATTACACTCAAAATACTCGGTTTGCGAGAATAATCATTGTCAAACAAAATTTCTTGTCATTGGTTCATTTTTGTAAATCCATACTCATATCATGTTCTCTTCGTCTTTATGCTAATTGTATACTGACCACACTTGTATGCTTATGCAGAGTGTACATTGGGTAACAAAACACTGTTATGCTTATGCAGAGTGTACATTGGGTAACAAAACACTGTTACTAGTTTTGAAAATATGAATCTGCGTTCAGATATGGCAAAACTGGGATTATGGAGTGGTTCCAATGGATTGGTAACTTGACTGAAACACTTAATAAACAACAAACTGTCTAAAAAATATTTATATATAATCCCATGATATTTTCAATATACTCTAGTGATTATCATAGGAATATACATTTATTACATACATAATTCCACAGTCTGAAAAGATGAAAAGCAGAATGTTGAAAGTGGAACTATTTCTGAAACAACACCAAATACATTGTATGTTAATTTTGTTGATGCTATAGTGATCTATTTCATGTGAATACCCATCTACGCTATGTGGCGATTTGGCTCATTACTGATTTTTAAATATCAATCTATATTTCTCTAAACAAAGGCGAAGCTGCAGAAAAATTGCTGAAAGCGTAACATAAGATAGGTGCTCCTTTATACACACGTTTCTCTTGTTATACCTTGGAACTGCCTAAAAGTGGTCACTTATACACAGGTGATCTTTATATAGAGGTGATCACTATCATGTAGGGTTGACTGTAATATTTAAAATCTGATGTTTGTATTTTGGATTAACTTCATAGGCATGATACAAGTAGACATATACGGAACACTTCCAGACATGTACCATTCTGTATTGAGGGGGAGGATACAGGCTCTGTGACAGTTGATGATCCCCTAGAAGCAAGTGGTTTAGACCTTGACACTGTTTATGACCAGTTTCAGCCAGTCGAGTCTAGTCTTGGTGAATCTATTGTTAACTGGGCATCAGGAGAAAAGACAAAAGGTTATGAAGAGATTGAGAAACTTCTTCCAGTTGGAACTGTTTTAACAGGTCTTGGTAAGCTGTCTCTCGAACATGGAGAAGTGAAACTGGGACCACCAACAGGAGGGGAAGAGTACATTCTAAGTCGACTCTCTAAGAGTCAAATAATAAAAGATATGGACAGTAAACTTCGCATTTCAAGAGTGCTCTTTTATGTGTTTGGCACCACAACTGTGGCTTTTATACTCTATTATATTTGGAAAACTGTAAAAAAGTATAGAACAAACAGAGCAATGCGACGACAGTTCGAACTGATAAGGAGGAACAGGCAAGAAGCTCAGAGGAATGGGAATGGCAGTGGGGAGGAAAATCCTAATGCCGAAGTCTGTGTGATTTGCTTGAATAATCCAAGAGAAGTTGTAATTTTAAACTGTGGTCACATCTGTGCCTGTGCAGAATGTGCGACAGCATTGCAACCTCCACAGTGTCCTATATGTAGGCAGAGAATAACACGAACTGTTCCAGTGTTTCATGCATAACACAAATTTACAATAGTGTTTATATTGTTATTATTTACAGCAATGCTAGGTTAACAAAGAATGATAATTTTTTATGCAATTCTATATAAATGCTGTATACATACTTTAAAGAAACATTTCATAATTCAAACATTATGTTTAGCATTCTCATGCACCTAGTTTTAGATTATTTTGATAAAAATATCATGTACAATAATAGGATTCAACTCCAGTTTAGTTTATTCAGAATACAAAATTGCAATTGTATTTTTTGACTTCAATGAAACGAGCTGCATAGATGCTCTGGTACAACACACAGACCTGATTAGGTTTCGGTTGAAATGTGTGCATATTAATTACCTAATTTGCATAAATCCAACAATTTTTTGATATCTCAATTACCAGCCAACTACCGTTCAATAAAACTGAAATATGTGCTATGGGGTAAATAAAATACTTGTTTATATTAGGGCTGAATTCCATGCATACAAATCACTTCATTTGCATAAATTAACAAATTTCACAGATTCCAGTTCTACTCATCAAATTCAATTGAAACTTTGTATGATAACTTTATAGTTGAAATCCATGCATCTCATAATTTACATAAATTTGGCAATTTTAATCACTAAATTTAAAATACACTTGGTACAGAGGTATCATAGATTGAAAACTATCAACTTATTAAACTATCAACTTATTAACTTCAATACTCAGATAGTACACCTCGAAGATCTGGTTTAATAATAATATTAAATCTATGCCTCGATTAAATCTATTATCACATGGGAGCTGCTTCTAAGCCTTTTTTACATTAATCTTTTTGTTATAAAACCTTTACAAAATTGTACACCATTGAAAAATTGTTGACTTTTATTTTGCAGTGACATTAGTTTTACTCTGTCTTGGTGGTGGTTGTGGTTTATGTTGAACCATTTTTGTAGTTAAACATGTAACCACTGTTGGTCATGTGACCCATTGTCCTGAGTGCAATGTTTATTTCTGTAACTCTACAATTCGTCTTTTGTCGCTGTGTAGTTTTTTTCATATGCATATTAGTAACAGCCACAGTTTTTTTTATATGCAGATTGTAATTGCTAGTTTTTTTTTATATTCTTATTAGTAACAACCAGTTAGTTTTTGTTCATTCACATGTAGATTAGTACCGGTAATTGCACACTTGTTAGTGTCTGGCATTTCTGAACTCACTGCTTAGCCACATGTCAAGGTTTAGGTTTAGGAGTTCTTCAAAAATTGGCCAAGCTGGGTTTGAACGATGAGTTGAGTCATAATTTATAACCCCTACTGTATGAGGAATTGGTTAGAATACATGTATGTGTATGTGTATGTGTATATGGATGTTTAAAAATTACATTTACTGTCAAGTGATGTGCACAACAATGTACTGAATGGAGCTATTTTTGTTTATGTAAATGATACTGACCACTGATGTCAATGTAGTGAAGTAGTGTGTTTTTGTCATATTGTCTTGGTAACAGAAACACTCATGATCAGCATCTTGTAAATAAAACTAACCCTTTTGATGTTACACTTGAAACAGCATAGCTAATCATGCTATTATATTCTTTATGGACTGG